ACATTTTACCTTAATTAAACAATTGGTTTAAGGTAGTTAGTACATTTGTAGTTACTATATACAATACTACTGTACATCGTCATTTTCCCATTACATTCATTTTGTGATCTTCTCACACAAACGGTAATGTAAACTATTTTCTGGTAATGATAGTCATACTTGGGAAAAACACTCACTTTTACAAAAGAACAAACATACAGAACAGTCGACTCTTGGTAGAAGACTACATTTCATTATAAGTAGAAAATATAGGATTTTATAGGAGATACAAACATTTACATCAAACATTTACATCAAACACTTACAAACATTTACATCAAACACTTATAAACACTTTCATCAAACTTATACAAACATCTGACACTAAAATACTTATGAACTCACCAGCTTAAATGCTGATCTACTCTTTCAAAATAACTTGTATTCTCAGTTCACCGGTAGACAGGTACACTGGACCAGGTTTTGAGAAGACGAAGCATATTCGAGACTCGTCTTTTATTTTGATTCATATTTTGGTGTCTTTCAAACTACACACAGAACACACTTGTATTAAATTATATTATTAATGCAATGGATGATGTTGTTGCTTGTTTGCTATTGTGCATTGTTATGATACTGTACATGACGTCCTCCGCCCCCGAACGTTTCCGTCGTTCTGGTTTGGGGGTGTAACAGGGTCCAATTTGTAAAATTGGGCCATATGTTGGGCTTTGATTCATAGTTTGACTTTTGGGCCTTTGGATTGGACCTTGAGATTGAATCAAGCTAAGATGGGGGTAAAGTAGTCTTTTACCCCAAGCATGGACTTATAGTTATGTACTGGAACCCAATTATTAATTAGGTGTTCTTTTGATGTTGACAGCTCGAGAATCTGTCATCCAGCAGCTAAAGTTTTGTCCGTGGGACTTCAACAGTGTGAGGTGAGTTACCTTCCAGTAGAAGTGGGTGTAAGGCACCAAGGTCGGCCCACTAGTAAGAGTTATAGTAGGGATGATTCTCTTTGTGATAATTATTTGGTATGTCGCTATCTGTTATGTTTTATGTGCTAGTATGCCATGATGTTATGCGATATGTGATAGGAGGGGTAGGATAGACCCTATCACCGGTTGATAGGGCCGAAAGGGTATGTCAGCACCCAGATAAGCTAGGCAGTATATGACTTATATGTTTATGCACTAGGATGTTATGTGGTATACGTAGGTGGTGAAATAGTCCCCGGTACCGGTCGAAAGGACCGAAGAAGTAGGCCAGCACCCTGATATGCTAGGCGAGGTACCGGTCGACAGGGCCGAAGGGGTAGGCCAGCACCCTGATATGCTAGGCAAGTTATCGGTCGAAAGGACCGAAGGGGTAGGCCAGTACCCTGATATGTTAGGCAAGTTACCGGTTGAAAGAGACCGAAGGAGTAGCTAGTACCCGGATATGTTAGACAGTATGTGTTATGTATGGTATGTGGTATGATGGGGGAACTCACTAAGCTTCGTGCTTACGGTTTTCAGTTTTGGTTTCAGGTACTTCGTTTTCAAAGGAAAGAAGTCGGCTCGATCGCAGTGCATCACACTATGTTTTCCACACATGAGATCTTTGGGATTACACTCTGGTATTGTTTTATGATAACATGTTTTGATTATTGACACTTTAGTTTTGACGTGGGATGTTTTTATGGATGTTCTTATATTGTTGGTTTTATAATAACTTAATTAAAATGAAATTTTTGGTCTTGAAATTTGGGATGTTACATGAGGGCTCATTAGCATTCCAGATATGAGCTGAGGGTCGGGTATGGCATGCCAGACTCATACTGAGGGCTCAGTAGCATTCCAGATACGAGCTGAGGACCAGTTGGTATACTAGACTCGTATTGAGGGCTGAACATTTGTGTGTCGGTCTAATGACTGATTAGGCTAGAGAGCAAGCCAAACATAAGTCGTGGGCCTCGGGGGCAAGCCAAACTTATGTTGTGGGCTTAAGAGCAAGCCAAATATGAGTTGTGGGCCCGATAGGCAAGCTAGACTAATACTGTGGGCGCAAGGGTAATCCAGTCTTTTAGCTGTTGACCCATTCCATGTTGTTATTGTATATGTGTTAATTGTTTGTGTTAGTACTTTGGGAGAACTCACTAAGCTCCGTGCTTACAGTTTTGGTTTATGGTTTCAGGTAATTCAGTGGATCGTGGCAATGTGAAGGCGTGACCATACACATCCTCGTGTTTTTGGGACTTATGATTTCTGGGAAACTCTGGTAATGAAATGTTTTGAAAACTATGTTGTAAACGATTCCGATTTTAAATAATCTTTTGGAAACAATGGTTTTTGTAATTACCTCTTTAGTAAATAGGTTGTTTTAAAAAGTTAAAATTTGTTGAAATTTTTGGGATGTTACAGTGTTTATAAAAAGCAAAGTCTTTTTAGTTTATAAATACACATAACTTTTATAAATCATACCTTATTATTTTATTTGATACATATTATTAAAATTATTAATTTCATAAAATAATTATTTTTCCAGTTAATTACAAAAAATATAAATATTTATCAAGAATCTAATTCTTATAAATATTCAATTTACGTCAAATTGTTAGTAGTATGGTCATACATGATCATATATTATTAGCAAATATCATTCTATAGTGATTTTTAAGCATATAAATCTTTCAATTTCATCGTCAAAAAAATCAGTCATACTGGATGAAAAAATTGAAGAATTAGTTGAGAATTTTTTTTTTAAATCTCGTTATAGTTTGAGAAAGAAAGGTTTACGTCAAAAGTACAAGAACACAGCAAAGAATGAGACTTAAAAAAATTAACGATGAACACCGACCCTTCTACCTAGAGATGCCGGTGAAGGTGTGATTGTGGGATATAATTTTTAGTTTAGATTATATGGCTTTTTATGTTTTTATATCATTTTAAGTTTAGTTTGTTTTATTTTTATCTACATTTCAAAATTTTAGATTAATGAAAAAGTTAAAGTCAATGTTAGATTTATATTTAACACTGACCTTCTCGTTTTTATGTGTATCTGGGTTTGTGTATGATCTGTTTGTATTTTGTAATCTGGGTCGAACTTCCAGACAATGTTGTGAACAAAGCAAATCGATGATAGTGTTGGAGTGATTGGCGAGGATGTGAATGTATGAGAGAGAGAGAGAGAGAGAGAGAGAGAGAGAGAGAGAGAGAGAGAGATGTGGGACCTTTTATATATTTAATTTTTTCTTTTAAAAAAAAATACGAGAAAACATCATAAATGGTCCCTGTGGTAATGAAATGATAAAAATGTCATTCAGTTAACGGACAAAACTTAACGGAGTTACCAATAAGGACCAATCGTCAAAAGTTTTGAAAGCACAGGGACGATCTATGATGTTTTTAAACCACGGGGAATAAACTTCATATTTGGGGAAACCACAGGGACCATTTATGATGTTTTTTCGTTTTAAAATGAATAAGTATTATAGATATTAATTAATAAATAATAAAATTTGATAATATATTGAAAGATGATATTTTCCTTGAAAAGAATATGTCGATGAGCCTTGCTATTTTGTGTATAGTTACAATTCATATTCCAGTAATACAACTAAAATGTAGTAAAGGCAACAATGTTGATAAAGTTTATTTGACTCACAACATTGTGCACAAGGTGTTTGTTGACTATAGAGGTGTACATCAACGACCAAGAAAAGATTGTTGCTTCTTTTCTAATAAAGGAATCATTAAATGTACATTTCAAAATCTTGAACCAGATCCATTTGGGGGAAAACAACCACTAAATGACAATCATCTACCACTACCCATGGAAACACACTACACACTACACACTACACTGCATTGTCTGTGCAGAAAGGCTTTAATGCTCCATTGCCACAAAAGAAAACAAGACATCTCATACTTTCATTTACCTATTTCGTTTCATACCCAATCTTAGATTATGATCAAACAACATAAACGAATTGATTCCAACGGATTTCACAGCATCAACAACTAATTATATCATAAGATTTAAGTTCATTATGACATTTTGTCAAGAACAAGATATATGATGTTCATTCATAATATTAGAATAAACAAACAAAAATTCTCTTCAGAAACACACAACAACCCCATTTTGCATCCTAATACTATCTTAATCTTAATCTTGTCTATGGTTGATGTTTTTTGGGGATACTTTTTTCCGGCAGAAAAAAAAATTATAAAAAAATATATAGACTTTGAATCACCAAATGATTTTTGACTATCAAAGTCTAAGTGCTGTGCAGTGAAGATCATCATCGGCCAGCTCAAAATCATCGAACGGTGGCGGCATATTTAAATCGATCGATAAAAAGGGTTTTGTGAAAGATGAAGAAGCAATTTCTCCGGCATCGCATCCTTCCCCGATTCCGTCAACAACGACAGAAGACGACGAATCGCAGTCGCTGTGACAATCGTCTGGAAACACCGGAGGAGAGCGAGGGTGGTGTCTCCGGGGTAAAACAAAATCTGACTTTACCGGCGGTCTAGGTCCACTGAAAGACTCGAGAGTACTACTCAGGCTGCTGCAGGTCGGCCTCTGTGTGACAACAATCGGGTAGTCGCTGTGATGATTTGGATGTTGGTACAACATGCTGTGATGATCGAGGAAGGGATGATGATCGTTTGGGATTTGTTGATGGTAATACGGTGACGGGGTCAACGGAAAATTGGTCTTGGCTTTAGGTCCGCGGAGATTCCGGGCAGCGGCGTCGTAAGCACGAGCTGCATCCTCCGCAGAGTCAAAAGTACCGAGCCAAACCCTGGTTTTCTTCCATGGATCTCTAATCTCGGCAGCAAACCTACCCCATGGTCTCTTTCTCACTCCTCTATACCTAATATCCGGCTTCGATCCAGATCCATCAGTCCCAAGAAGAGCCGCTTCAGCCATCGTCTTAGACGGCGTCCCTGCTCTACCTCTTCGCATTGCCGATCAGGAATATCAAAAGTCAGATCAAATTGCTTGAAGTGTATGATGAATTTTTCCACACACACACAACACAGAGAAAGAGGGAGATGAGATGAAATGAAAAGAAACACTCCAAACTCACTCTCCCCTCTTATCACTCTCCTTCTGCTCAACTGTGTGGCTTGGCTATGGAGATAAAAAAAAAAAAGAGATAGAGAGAGAAGAGAAGAGAAGAGAGAAAGGGGTTTTGGTGTCTCGATGTTTGAAACTTGTTTTGGGGTTTGGGTTTTCTTTTGCTTTTTCTTCTTTTGAACCCTAAACACGCTTCACCCGATTGCTTCTTCTTCCCTCTTTCCCCCCTTTTCTTGATTTTTCTCGATTTTCGATCCATTTACAACACATTTTGGTGTTCTCCAAATAGTTTATGTACGTCTTTGTATATTTGCAAACGATTTATGACTAAATGTTTAATATAATATAATGATGATAACATTTACAAACTAATCAAAATTTGAAATTAAAATATTTCATAAAGGTAATAATAAACTTAAATATCAAAAAATAATAATAATAATAAATAAATAAATAAAATAGAAAGGGACATAGGAAACATCATACAATTATTTTCCTTCACATATTTATCACAAATTGACTAAAATTTTACAAAATAATTCTTTAATATGAATTTTATTTCACAAGATTATTTTTCTAACAAAAAATAAGAACATTAAATTTATTACTTTTCAAACATCATTTTATATAATGTTAAATGTGACTTGAGCATTTTGATCATTATTTGTGAACATATGTGATCAATGAAACATTTTGTAGCAAGTATGAGCATAACAATAAATGGAGCATTTGGAAGCAAGTGTAAGCATCATGGATCAATGGAGCACTTGGAAGCATGTGTAAGCATTAAGGATCATACGTAAGCATCATGGAAAGGGATGTCGCATTATTTGATGCGTCATGAAGCAAGATGCGCCACTCCCAAACAATGTGCGCCATCTTGGGGCTTGATGCACCACTTTAATTTTGATGTGTCATCGTGGATGTGTCACTCTTGATGGGAGGATGCTCATAAGTTGAAGATGCTCAAGGAGAATGCTCACAAGTTGAAAATGCTCAATGAGGATGTTTATAAGTTGAATATGCTCAAGAAGGATGCCCCAAGGGGCATGATGCTCCACCATGATAGAGGATGTGCCATCTTGATGTATCATGGTGCTCATGATGTGCCACTTGTGCATCATGATGTGTCATTTTCGCTCATAATGCTTCATCATGTGTGTAATTGATGCTCATTGTAACAACCAGTTCCTGGTATGTATTTAAAGTTATAAGTTATTCACTTTTGTATAGGAACTCGACGAGTTGGAGGCCCCAAACTCGTCGAGTAGAGATGGATTTGGACGCGGGTTATGAAGTCTATTCGACGAGTTGAGAGCCTCGACTCGACGAGTAGGCCTGGCAGAATGAAACCCTGCTTTTAAGGGTTTTGCACCCTATTTAATCACCTTAACCTCCAAAGGTTGGCCTCATTTACAGCCTCCATCGTCCCAAACCCTAGCCAAGAAACCCTAATCCACTTTTGGAGAGTTTAGATCCATTTTGTGCATTCTTTGTGATTTTGAAGCTTGTGAAGGAAGGAGAAGCTTGGTGATTCAAGAGGAAGCTAGTAGATCCAGAGTTTGAGCTGCATTTCTGACTCATTTGAGGTATAAAGTTGATACCTTGGCTTTCTATTACAGGGTAGTATGTTGTCACTTTTGGGTCATATTGAAGTCATTTTCGGGATTTGAGTATATTATGAAGTTGTGACTTCAGATCTAGGCACTCATGAGCTTATGAGGCTTAAAGTTGCCAGCTTTATCAAGCCTTGGCCCTTATCCATGCCCTATATCTCTTATATAGCTTAGTTTTGGTGTTTCTAGCTTCATGACACCATGCATGGACGTAAAGTTAACAACTTTACGTGATATAACGGGCCTAGGGGACCAGATCTATGGTTTGCAAGCATCGAACTCAGTTGGAAGTGATTGAATGGATTTAGACAAGGAGAACTCGACGAGTTGTTCATCCAACTCGACAAGTTGGATCGTAGTCCCCCAACCCTTGTTGTTATTGAGCAAACTCGGCGAGTTGGCCATGGTTTTGGGTTTTAAAGACTGAAGAACTCGACGAGTTCAAGGAGGAACTCGACGAGTTGTGTTGTGAAGTCCCGACTCTATTATAGGGAGGAACTCGACGAGTTCATGAAAGAACTCGACGAGTTTGATCGTAATTTCAGGGTTTATGATTCATGGAACTCGACGAGTTGATGGACCAACTCGGCGAGTTGAGTCAACTCAGGATGTTGACTTTGACCAGAAGGCTGACTTTGAACAGGGTGTTGACTGCGAATTTGACTTTGACCAAAGTTGACCCATAAGGGGTTGTGGGTATGAAAGGGTAATTAAAGAAAATCTTTTGTGTGTAGGAGATTGAGTGGAGTTGATTTCAGAGTCGAGGATAGTTCAGCTACTTCACGACATTTGAGGTGAGCTACCTTCCAGTAGAAGTGGGTCGAAGGCACCAATGTCAACCCACTAGTAAGTGTTATAGTAGAGATGATTGTCTTTGTGATAATTATCCAGTATGCCACTATTTGTTATGCTTTATGTGCTAGTATGCTATGATATTATGTCATAGTGGTAGGAGGGGTATGATAGGCCCAAGTACCGGTCAAAAGGACCGAAAGGGTAGGCCAGCACCATGATATGCTAGGCAGTATGTGACTTATGTGTTTATGTACTAGGATATTATATGGTAGAAGTAGAGGGTGAAATAGTCCCCGATACCGGTAGAAAGGACCGAAGAGGTAGGCCAGCACCCTAATATGCTAGGCAAGGTACCGGTCGAAAGGACCAAAAGGGTAGGCCGGCACCCTGATATGCTAGGCAAGTTACCGGTTGAAAGAGACTGAAGGGGTAGGCCAGTACCCGGATATGTTAGACAGTATGTTTATTATATGGTATGTGGTATGATGGGGGAACTCACTAAGCTTTGTGCTTACGATTTTCAGTTTTTGTTTCAAGTCCTTCTTCTTCGAAGGGAAAGGATCTGGCACGATAGCAGCGCATCACACCACGATTTTCCGCACTATGATGTTCTTGGGATTTGTACACTGACATTATTATCTTATGACTTGTTTTTAGACATATGACTGATGGGATTTTATGATATGAGATAACTTAATGATGTTTTAAATAATCTATTTTATGAATTATTAAATCAAAAATGAAATTTTTGGTCTTGGATTTTGGGATGTTACACTCATGCAATGTATCTCAAGGATGAAGGTTCTAGAAGCAGCTGCATAATGGATTATGATTGGTTAAAACCTTTCATGGGCTTATGGAATTATGTGTTTGGCTCATTAGGGTTTTATGTAGGGTCCTTAGTATATAAATAGGGATGTATGCTAGCCTTTTAAATGTGTCTTTAGTATCTTGAATTCTAAAGAGTATGAGAATCTCTATGAAATTATACTTGTAACCTTCGATTGAAAACTCATGAATAAAGAATACTCCTCTCTGCATGTGGACGTAGGTCACCTTGACCAAACCACGTAAATATCATGTCTTTGTGTGCTTTTGGTTTCGTGTGTTATCCACATTACTTCCTGATAACGTACCCCTTGGCGAGCGCCATGGAGCACCAGACAATCCTACAGGCAAGATGCGACGCCAGGTCGTCCAACCCTCTCCCAAAAACAGCTGGTAAGCGGCCAAGCACCGCCCGCATGTTTCCACTCTATACTAGCAAGCCCGTGTGGGGCACTACTGTCCAACGAACAATCACCTTGCAACAAAAGGTAGCAGAATCAGGCAACAAAGTTAATGATCAGAGCATTACCACATGAGCCAATCCCGGTCTCTGACACAGAGAAGAGCACGATCATCTAATAATGCATCTAACCCTTGTTGGATATGACGCCTTTGCCCACCATACGGACTGTATGTGAGGCCTAAGTAAAAAAGTCTCCCTTGTCCATTGGAAAGGTTAAGCTCTCTCCCACTCATACTCTAATTACACAATCTCTTTCAAGTCACTTACTTGACCATTGGAGCGTTTTCTCGGGACCGCCCCACGAGAATGACTGGCGATCTCTTTTTTTGTTGTGAACTTACAGATCTTCGCCGTATGAAACCAGTCGGAGACTTCCCCCAGATTTGTGTCGCATCATTTGGCGACATTAGGTGTGTGACAATCAATACTAAAAACCACACATCACATCGTTATCGCAAATGGTAAATGAAACAACCGACGAAGGTAGTGAGGTAGCCATGAGCCCCATTCGTTCCATGCGATCGTTGGGGGCCTATTCTTACTCTGGTAATACCATCAGTGTCGGCTACAACCCCTACACCTTCGACTATCATTCAAATAGAGTTCACCACTCCGATCAGCAAGCTTTAGCGACCAATGCTATCCACATCCACAACACGCATACCAAATTTCTTACTCCCTTCACCTCGAGCAACACCCTTCCTAAACACAACACCTCTACCAGTGATTACACTAGGAAATAACCTGATTTTACCTCCTCCGATGACACTACCACTTATTCAAGCACTGTTCCTCCAACAAAACCCTCTATTCATGCCGAAACTACAAACATTAACGCCAAACCTTTTCCTTACCCAACAAACGTCACCGCCGAGTGCATACTGTAACATCCTGTTCCGGATTGTTTTGTGATTTAAGGCCCGTGGACCTTAATCCAAGTATAAGAAGGTTTTGAGGCTTTGAAGGAGAAAGGTTTAGGCCCTTTTTGGGATGTGGGTAAGGTAGGTTGTGTGATAAAGATTTTGGTTTGTGCTTTAGAGCCCAAATGTATTGTTAAAGGCGTTGGTGCAGGATTTTCATGAACTTTGGATATGAGTTCAAGAGGGCTTCAGGAGGAATAAAGTTGATATAAGTGTGGGGCATCTCTTTACCTTTTCGTGGATATAAGGATCGTCGGAAACGGA